TTCACACCTGTAGGTCAAACGTAGCTCTGGTGCTGCTTGAATGAATATCTGTAGAGGGCGCTAATGAGCCATTTATAAGTTACATGTTGAGCATGTTTAGTACCTCAAAAGAACAAAAAACATTGTTGTTTACTGGATACTAGAACATTTCAACACTTGTTGTACAGGTTCAGAGGCCAGAAACAAGGGAAAGCTTTGAGAGATGTGTTTAAATACAAAGTTAAAGATTGATGGAAGCGTTCAGCTTGGAATTATACGTACATGACACGGTTCTATAGACTGTCACTTATGTAAAGAACAAAAATACATATTTACAATTGCACTCGCTTTGTGCTCAAATAGCTACAGCCAATTCAGTTTGAAAAACAAAATAAATCTATGTCATTGATGTTATTACCATTGTTATTATGCACTTTAACTTGATGAAATTATCTTAGCAGACCAATAAACTAAAAAACAAAGGAACATAATGCCTTTAATCTGAATGTCCATAGTTGACAAACAAGAAAACACCCATTTAACAGAGGAAGGAAATACTTCACACAGCATTTAGATCTGTGGTCTACTCATGTATCCCTCTCTTGTCTTTGAATTTAACCTGAGCATATTCACTTCCCATCTCTTTCTTTACATTCCTGGGCCCCACGTTGCATAGAGACCTTCCATCTCCAGTGCGCTGCTCACAAAGCTCTGAGCGTTCCTCCCGCCGTGCACATCTCCTCCTCCAGAGACGAGCCACCCGGCTGGGGACTCTCCTCCGAGGCCTCGGCCCTCTTCTTCTGGCTCCTGGTCCTCTGGTTCACAGTCGAGTAAACCACATCTTTGCCCTCCTCACTGGTCTTCTCTGAGCCTCCGCTGGCTCCTTCTGCGTTGTTTGGTAACTATACAATTACAGAGAAAACATCAGTGCCAAATGTGCTCTGCTGATCCGGTCCAACTGAAGTAGAACAGCGTCCTGGGAGGGTACCTCCTGTCCCTCTCCACCTAGAAGATGGCCTGCAGCCACCGTGCTGGTGTCCCCGGTGCACTGACTCCTCAGGCGGTCATGGTGGGTCTTCTGAGCCCTGGAAAGTACAGTCCAACGTCTGTCTCACAATCACATGTGTGTATGTGAGTCGTCTGTTTTGTTTATTACAGAGGAAGCTGCAATAAAATAGTCTCACAGGAGAGGATGTAAACTTTAGTGTTGACTGTTATATGTTACATGTTGATGTCACCTTACCTGATCACAAACAGCAGAGCACATACTAGTACAAGTAGAGCGACGACCACACTGATGAAAACTGTCAACATCACTCGGTCTGAAACGTGAGGACAATGAAAGATCATTGTTTGTTCAGGTGAAACCTCAGAGAGGCTGTCAAAAAATTCAGCTTAAACAGACTCGGAAGTAAACAGCTTTTACCATTTTACTATTAAATATTTGTAGATATTATCTAGAATCATTTGCGTAATTTTATTCCTCCTCTCTTGTGCTGTCAGTTGTCATTTCAGCACGCTCCAAAGGTGACCCGCCACCACCCCTTACACCTCCAATCTACAGCAGAACCTGGCATAGCAGGAGAGTTATGCAACTTGGGCTCTACCACCACCACCACCAGTGTCTGGACTCCCAGGGGGGGGATACGGCTCGTCTCGGCTCGAGATCCCGGCCCCGGGTCTATCCTGCGGCAGGATGAAGTCCAAGCCTCCAACAACTTGCAATAGCAAATTATACCTGTTATAATAAAGCATTGCTCAAATTTGCACAAGTCTCTCCGGAATGAAATGGATATACATATTTGCAGATCTTCTCTAGAATAAATTGCGTAATTGTATGCCTAAACTAGACCGTAGGACGTATTTTAACATCTCGACAGTCGCCTCAGATGTTTCCAGACTCTCCCGCCCAACCTACTAATGTCAAGTGGGTGAGAGGGTGTGAGATAACATTGAGATAAAAAAAAAAAAAATTCTAATAAGTCTCTGTCACAGTCTTTGTTTATCCTGTGTTTTATTTTATTTTGTAGTTTCCTGTATCTTGTGTCCCTGCGTTAACTTCACTTCCTGCCCTGGTGTTTCACCTGCACCTTCCCAGTGTGTTTAAACCGTGTGTGTCTCTTGTTGTGTTGAGAGTCTTGTACCCGTATCTCTGCATGAAGTGTACTTTTGTTACTAAGAACTGCGTTGTTACCCAATAAGTCACATTGGGGTGTTTAAGGAAGTCTACATGGGCCACTGATGGTAAAGTTAAGCCAAAAAAGAGAAGTATCACCAGCATTAATGTTTTTCTATAACGCTCTGGGCCTCACCTTTAAGCACTGAAGTGTTCCATCTAACAGCCTGTATAGTATTTATGAAAATAAAAACAAATCCAACGACCACCTAATACACTTCTCTCAAGTTGTCAGTGCACATGATACAGACCTGGACTCTGAGCAGACTTCTGAGGCTCTGAGCTGCCGACACAAAACCGCTGAGTAGCAGATCCCCGAGAGTTCACGCTGCGGCAGAGCAGCGAGGAAAGACCCGCCTCCTGCTGTCTATTCACCGTGATGATGCTCCACGTGGTGTCATTTAGACGCTCGCTGCTTACTGAAAGCTCCTCGGAGTGATTGACAGGTGACCCGTTCAGATACCAGCGTACAGTGGGAGGAGGATTTCCCAGAGTCCAGCAGGAGCAGTTGAGCTGGTCTCCAGCTGTGATGCAGTCGGATGAGAGCAGGATCTGTGCTGCATCTGTACAATATATAAAATACAGTTAGACTCCAGTAATTCAGCTTAGCTTAGTTTTACCTGTGACTCAACTTGCTTAAATAATAAATAAGGAGATGAATAGTTTATTTTATTAAACTGCAGATTTACCATAAATAGATTTCAATTAATTTACTGAAATAAAGCTTTATATCAAGTGAAAGAAGTGTGATCCTCACATTGAACGTCTATGTGTGTGTTGTTGGATCGTCCAACTCCAACATCATTGTGAGCCGTGCAGAGAAAAGGACTGTCTTCTTTAGAGGCTTTAATGGTGAGAACACGTCCCGTCCCAATAAAAGTCTCCTGTTCTCCATCCGCTCTGTACCAGGTGTACTTCTTCACTGCTGGGTTAGCAGTACTACTGCATGTCAGAGTCACACTACTGTCCTCTAGTACTGAACCAGAGGGACGGACTGACACTGTGGTGACTTTGGGGGAATCTGAGGAATCAGTAATGAAACACAACCTATTAATATGTAAAAATATCTATTCAATCAGTGTATCGGGGTCCAGATGATATACAGTATCCTTCAAACGTGATCCTCACATTGAACGTCTATGTGTGTGTTGTTGGATCGTCCAACTCCAACATCATTGTGAGCCGTGCAGAGAAAAGGACTGTCTTCTTTAGAGGCTTTAATGGTGAGAACACGTCCCGTCCCAATAAAAGTCTCCTGTTCTCCATCCGCTCTGTACCAGGTGTAGTTCTTCACTGCTGGGTTAGCAGTACTACTGCATGTCAGAGTCACATTACTGTCCTCTAATACTGGACCAGAGGGACAGACTGACACTGTGGTGACTTTGGGGGAATCTGAGGAATCAGTAATGAAACACAATCAATTAATATGTAAAACTATCTATTCAATCAGTGTATCAGGGTCCAGATGATATACAGTATCTTTCAAACGTGATCCTCACATTGAACGTCTATGTGTGTGTTGTTGGATCGTCCAACTCCAACATCATTCTGAGCCGTGCAGAGAAAAGGACTGTCTTCTTTAGAGGCTTTGATGGTGAGAACACGTCCCGTCCCAATAAAAGTCTCCTGTTCTCCATCCGCTCTGTACCAGGTGTAGTTCTTCACTGCTGGGTTAGCAGTACTACTGCATGTCAGAGTCACACTACTGTCCTCTAGTACTGGACCAGAGGGACAGACTGACACTGTGGTGACTTTGGGGAAATCTGAAGAATTAAATCATTTGTATATTTTCTAGATGTAATATTGTATTGAAAACACGGCAGATTATGTAGAGAGGAAAAAAGAAAGAGAACACACTTCATTGTTTCAAAAAACCTCAATTTAAAGCTACTTAATTTCTTTCACAATCCAGTGTTGATTGTGGATAACATTTAAACCGAGGGGTCTGTTTCGTAAAAGGACAATTTTGACCTTTAACCTGGAACTACAATAAGAATTATTTGCGATATCGTTCATCTTTCATTTACTTTCATAAACAAGCCACTAATGGTTGAAACAGAAGGCCTCACCTTCTTGTATCTCAAAAGTGAGATACAAGAGCATCTTTTCACCTTTAATCTCATGTAATCATTATTACCTTCTAAAAACAGTTCACAACTATTATTCTTTTTTATTACTAATGGATTAATAAACTAATTATTTCAGTTCTGACTATGAATCAAGTCAAGAACGTTAAGCAATGAGATCATTTTAATTAAAACGTCCATGAAAACTATAAATGATGATGAATGAACTCACATGAAACATCAGCTGTTAAAGTAGCAGCTGTTAAAGTAGCAGCTGACTCAGCGCTTCCATCCTGTTTGTGGTAGGAGGCCTCACAGGAGATTGTCTCTCCATGATGCTTGTGAGAGGCAGTGAAGGTCACAACAGAGGTCAGGACTTTGGTTCTGTCCTTATTCTCCTGCAGTGTCTCCACAATGTCCCCCAGGCCTTTGGTCCATGTCACAGTTGGAGGATGAGACAGACATGGAGCTGGAGCAGAGCACCTCAAACTCACTGAGGCTCCCTCCTCCACCTTCAGAGCTGACGGAGTCAGAGTCGGTCTGGGAGGAACATCTGGTGAGAAGGTCCATTTGAACGTCACTAAAGCATCACTTCTTCATTTTGTTCACTATTTGCCAAATTAAATGAATGCAAAACAAGTTAAAGGAATCTGTGTAAGATAAATGAATGAGTGAAATGTAAACAATCAGACTTTAATACCTTTGACTGAAAGAAGAACTCTTTTTGCAGAAAAATCATATTTTAGACCGTTGTCACATTCCAACCTGAAGAAATAACTATAGTTGCCAGCAGGTTGAATGTTGTTTAGGGTTGTGGTGCAGTTTTTTTTTGTCAAGTCTCCTATCAGTTCTCCTTTATTTAAACTTGTTTGTTGATCTTTGCTGTTAAACAAAACTTTTTCCCAACCAAGTTTCCATTGTGCTCTACATGTGTCATTTAGGTTTGATTCATATTGATCTTCTATCTCAAAGGAGCAGGGGATGGTCACACAGGATCCTGTAAGAACCTCTATAGTCTGCGGCACAAATGCCTTAAACTCTTTACTCTGAGCACCTGAAACACAAGAAACAAATCATGAATGAGAACAGTTGAATAAAACTTTTTAAAGTCACGATCAATATTTACTGCTTGGTTACCTCACTAAAATCTTAACAAAATACCTCATTATCATCACAATCTAAAATAACGACTAAGGATTCTGTGTTAATTTCTAAGGATTTATTCATCCATCCATCCATCCATTGTCAAACCGATTTATTCAAAGAATATTTATTTAAAAAGCAGCAGAAAACTTTAGCAGCTCACTGCGTCCTTCTACTGCTGCAGCATATATTACACATACTGTTGTACTGTGGTGTGTATTCTTCACTAACAGTGTACATTGTGTATTTTTAATACTCAATGATCCAGATGTGAATGCAGTGCAGCTCACCTTGCAGCAGAGAACCAATGAGAAGGAGAGTCAGAGCTGCAGCCATCTTTGTGAGTCAGGAGAGGCAGAAACTCTGGAGATTACGCATGAAACAAGCCACATGTTTAGAGCATGTAGAGGTTATTAAAGGTGTTTAAAGTAGGGTTAATTCATGAGGCTCTAATGAATAAAACAGTTGCAGAGATTCTGTTGGAGAAATGTTTTGCAGAGTCTATAATTTATTATGATATTATTAATATGAAGGCTCAGAAGAAGTGATTCTGGGGTTCTGAACCACTGAAACTCAGTTAAATCCCTCCAAATTAGACATCCCACACACAAAATTGAAGTTAAACATTACTAATGAAACATATTTTACGTATATACAGTGCATCCGGAAAGTATTCACAGCACTTCTTTTCCACATTTTGTTACAGCCTTATTGCAAAATGGATTAAATTCATTATTTTCCTCAACATTCTACACACAACAACCCATAATGACAAAGTGAAAACTGTTTTGCAAATTTGTTAAAAATAAAGAACGAAAACATAACATGTACATAAGTATTCACAGCCTTTGTTCAATACTTTGTTGAAGCACCTTTGGCAGCAACTACAGCCTCAGGTCTTCTTGGTTATGATTCCACAAGCTTGGCACAACTATTTCTGGGCAGTTTCTCCCATTCTTCTTTGCAGAACCTCTCAATTTCCATCAGGTTGGATGGGGAGCGTCTGTGCACAGCCATTTTCAGATCTCTCCAGAGATGTTCAATCAGGTTCAAGTCAGAGCTCTGGTTGGGCCACTCAAGAACATTCAGAGTTGTGCCGAAGCCACTCCTTTGTTATCTTGGCTGTGTGCTTCGGGTCGTTGTCCTGTTGGAAGATGAACAGTCGCCTCAGTCTGAGGTCCAGAGCGCTTTGGAGCATGTTTTCATCGAGGATGTCTCTGTACATTGCTGCATTCATCTTTCCCTCAATCCTGACTAGTCTCCCAGTTCCTCTTGCTGAAAAACATCCCCACAGCATGATGCTGCCACCACCATGCTTCACTGTAGGGATGGTAATGGCCAGGTGATGAGCAGTGCCTGGTTTCCTCCAGACATGACGCTTGGCATTCAGGCCAAAGAGTTCAATCTTTGTTTCATCACACCAGAGAATTTTGTTTCTCATGGTCTGAGAGTCCTCCAGGCGGGCTGTCATGTGCTTTTTACTGAGGAGTGGCTTCCGTCTGGCCACTCTACCAAACAGGCCTGATTTGTGGAGTGCTGCAGAGATGGTTGTCCTTCTGGAAGGTTCTCCTCTCTTCATAGAACAACGCTGGAGCTCTGTCAGAGTGACCATGGGGTTCCTGGTCACCTCCCTGACTAAGGCCCTTCTCCCCCGATCGCTCAGTCTGGCTGGGTGGCCAACTCTAGGAAGAGTCCTGGTGGTTCCAAACTTCATCCATTTTCGGATGATGGAGGCCACTGCGCTCATTGGGACTTTCAATGCTGCAGAAATCTTTCTGTACCCTTCGCCAGATCTGTGCCTCGATACAATTCTGTCTCTGAGGTCTACAGATAATTCCTTGGACTTCATGGCTTGGTTTATGCTCTGATATGCACTATTAACTGTTATACCTTATATAGACAGGTGTGTGCCTTTCTCAATCATGTCCGATCAACTGCATTTAGCACAGGTGGACTCCAATCAAGTTGTAGAAACATCTCAAGGATGATCAGTGCAAACATGATGCACCTGAGCTACATTTTGAGTGTCATGGAAAAGGCTGTGAATATGTACATGTTATGTTTTCGTTCTTTATTTTTAACAGATTTGCAAAAATGTGCAAAAAAACAGTTTTCACTTTGTCATTATGGGTTGTTGTTTGTAGAATGTTGAGGAAAATAATGAATTTAATCCATTTTGCAATAAGGCTGTAACAACAAATAACAAAATGTGGAAAAGAGAAGCGCTGTGAATACTTTCCGGATGCACTGTATATATATATATATTCATATATATATTTTAACTTTTATGAAACTTGGTGATGAAGGTATTCAAAATAACTGAAATGATTTAGTAGTTATATTCATTGTGTGAGAAAAACAAATCATTGTTTGTGTTGCTTCGTAATATTCAGTCTGTCACTGAAACCACACGCTACTTTTTAGCACGCCATGGAAGGTGAAATGATGAAATGCAAAAACAGAAATATGAATGCTAAAAGCTACAACGACAAAGACAGTGTCCCTTCATTTTGTCTTCAAATACATTTAATAAGTAATTGTTTTACTCAAGAGTGACGATGTCCAAAACCACAATCAAATAACGGCTCAAAAGTTGTAAAATTTTACCCTTCTTCACAATTTTATTTCTATTCCTTTGAAATTGTTCATCGTTCTAAAGTTGATTAATGTCTACGTTCTACATATTTTGTCGTTTATTTGAAATCAGTTTTGATGATTTTTAATTGTCATAAAAAGATCTGATGACTTACATTTGTTTTTGTCCTTCGAGCAGATCGATGGCAGATGTGCAGAGAAATGAAGATCCTTAAAAGTTGTGCTTATTTTTAAAACAACGTAGAGATCTGAAAATGAGGAAGTCACTAAAGCTGCATGTGTGGGAGGATGAAATAAACGTATTTATAAAAGTATTTTCACACAGTCCCACATGCTTCTTGGTTAAAGCTATTTTTTACATCACACATCTTTTATCCAAATATTCAGTCGTTTGGCCTCAATGAAACAAAATGTTTATATTTCCAACTTGGTGAAGTTGTTTTTTGCAAATGATAAAGACACAACAAAAACCTATAATTAGCCTTTATTGATTAAGCAATATGCACAGTTATTATAACACATTGACATATTTAAGCTTTATACTGAAGGCTCACTGATTAGAAGGATTAGTTGTTGTTTACAATCTACAAACTGCAATAATTAAGCAATAAGGTAATAGAGGCTGTACTGTACCGTGTACTGTACTGTTGCATTTGGTCAAAGTGCGTTGACGTAACTTACACAAATACAGTTTGCCTAAAATTGACTTTGGATTAATTTGGTAGCTGAAAGTGTTGAATTGTTAGACGGGATCCAGTTTTCTCTTTTTCATTGTTTTTTCTGTTGTAAAACATTGTAATGGTTCTGTTGTTTAAAAATAACAGAACCCAATACAATGGCTTGATGAAGGAAGGTGTCAAGTATGTAAAACAACATATTTGACATACTTGAGAACACGTAAGGGACAAAACACTGACGATACAACGCGAACGTGATTCATAATCCTTACCAAAGATCCATGGAAGAAAACATTTCGATGGATAATAATTGACTCTCTACAAATTAACCTGGGCATATTCAGTGTTGATCGTCTTCGTGGCAACATTCCTCATCCCAATCTTGTCATACAAACTCCCCAATTCCGACGCGTTGACCACGTGACCTCTGGCCGCGCCTCCCTCCATGCGCCTCTCCTCCTCCAGGTAGGAGCAAGGAGACGGACTCCGGCCCCCGGAGCGCTCCCCCTCCTTTATCTGGCTCTTGCTCTTGAAAGTGACGCTCGAGTAGAGCACGTCGCTGCCGTCCTCATCCGGCTTCTCCTCTGGGCTTCTACGTGCAACCTGCTGATGTTCTACACGAGTATTTGGGATATTGGCGTCAGGTTGGTGTTGGCATAGATAGCCTCCTCCGCTGTTACAGATAGCTGTAATATACATTTGTTGTTAAACTGTCAGTACCACAGATATTATGTTTGATTATTGTCATCTGAAATAGAGAAACAGTTCGTACCTCAATGAGCTTTTCACCTGCGAGGCCTTGGCTCGCCACAGCGGAGCTGGTGTCACCGGTGTGCTGACTCTCTCCAGAGTTAAGGCCCCTGGTCCTGTGAGCTCTAGAAAATAGGGCATTTTTGATATGAAAACATTTTTTACAATTTTTACATTAGATATGGACCTGCTTGTTAATTAGTTGACAGAATGGAGGTACTGAACAGGTTGTATTAGGAGAAAATGTAGCACTGGCCACATACAGCTGCTGATTATCATCTATGAACACTCAGATTTTCAGAAACATGAGACCTTGATAGACATGTGGTAACTTCAGTATTTAAAAGACTAAACCACTCTTGATAATCATAGTTATCATTTATTTAGTGCAACGTGACAGGACATCAGCGGGTTATCCTTCTTCTATCTAGTATCTAACAACTACTATGCCTAATGACCGTGAAGGTCAACTGACCCTCTTGTGGTGTGGAGTGGTAATGCAGGTAAATATCACAACATAAATATCAGGATACCACAGACAACAACCTGTTAAAACAGACAATTTGCATCAGTAAAGAGAAATATGCTTATGCATCCTCAACATCCTAATTTAAAATAATTTATAATTAATTATATTCTGAATACAAAGAAACCTTAAGTGTTGCACATTTATTGACTGGAGTCACGGGCTGGAGAGACAGTAAACAGTCAACACAAATACTAAAGCTGAATTAACAAACAGCCACTGACCCGATAGCAAACAGGAGAGCGCACATCAGCGCTGCCGTAAGAGCAACAACCGTGACGATGAATGTCAGCGTAAATCGACCTGTACAATCGGTTTGAGAGAAAACCGAAGAGCACGAAGGTTAAACAGACGCATTAAAATAACATCTTCCATGATAACATTTGGATTCTCATGAAGATTCATTCATGTGCTGTTCTGGAGGAGGAGGGGTATAAAAAAAAAGGTCAGTTATAAAATGCTATGTTCTGAGGAATCACATCATGTATGATGACAAAGACAGACCTGGACTTCCCGCGGTGGTTTGAGGCTCTGAGCTGCCGACACAAAACCGCTGAGTAGCAGATCCCCGAGAGTTCACGCTGCGGCAGAGCAGCGAGGAAAGACCCGCCTCCTGCTGTCTATTCACCGTGATGATGCTCCGCGTGGTCGTGTCATTTAGACGCTCGCTGCTTACTGAAAGCTCCTCGGAGTGATTGACAGGTGACCCGTTCAGATACCAGCGTACAGTGGGAGGAGGATTTCCCAGAGTCCAGCAGGAGCAGTTGAGCTGGTCTCCAGCTGTGATGCAGTCGGATGAGGGCAGGATCTGTGCTGCATCTGTGATGAATATAAGACATAAGTAGTAGTAAAGTAAAGTCAATGAAGGATTGGTTTTGTTAATATAAGTCAATATGTTTTGCTGTAACATTTGAAGGAATTGGATGTAAAAAACGGACTATAATTGAACTGTCATCCAATTTTTTCTAAATGTCTTAAATTTTTAAAGCAATAGTTGGCGAGAAGGTGTTTTGATCTTAAAATGTGACATGTTTGTGTTTTTTGTTTAGTGTCTAAATTTTACAAATGAAAAAGCTCAGCTCTGATTTAAAAAAAAAAAGTTTGACTTTCATTTATCTTTCAATTACTTTTACAATAAATCAGTAAATTGTTTAGTAAAATGGGGGATCACTAAAAAATCAGAATTTGCGAAAGATTGAGGAGGCGTCACCAAATAACATTCAATTTAAAACAATATAAAAGAGTCCAAAGCATCGCGTCCTTTAATCTGAGACCAAGGAACATTTCTACCCCCAATAGCATTAATACCTTTTAAAAATAGTTTACAACTATTATTCTTTCACATTACTAATATATTAATAAACTACCTTTGTATCAAGTCAAGAATGTTAAGCAATGAGATCATTTTAATTAAAATATTGTGATGTCACGAGAGGCTGGGTCTGGGAAGGGAGGTACGTTCACCAAAGATGGCTGTAACTGCTATGGCTCCATCTGCTGGTGGAGTTAGGAACCCCACTCCGAGCATCCCCCTCACACCTGAAACCCATCAGGGTATGACGACCTGAAGGCCTTTATAGGGTGGGGGACACACCATTGAGGGGAAAGAGAGAGACGAGCTGCAGGTTGGGCCTGATGCAGAAGCCCAGACCAATGCAGGAGGATTCCTGGAGACGGGAGGGACTGAGAAGACGAGGCATTATTTAAGTTTTACTGGCGAAGATCGACCGAAGCTTAAGTTACACGTTTTTGAACGTGAACCTTTGTTTACATTTTGAACCTGGTGTCCTCACACTACTTGAACCACCCCGGTGAGAGCGGCCCTGCCTCTCACGACATCACAATATCTATGAAAACAATTAATGAGGATGAATGAACTCACATGAAACATCAGCTGTTAAAGTAGCAGCTGACTCAGCGCTTCCATCCTGTTTGTGGTAGGAGGCCTCACAGGAGATTGTCTCTCCATGATGCTTGTGAGAGGCAGTGAAGGTCACAACAGAGGTCAGGACTTTGGTTCTGTCCTCATTCTCCTGCAGTGTCTCCACAATGTCCCCCAGGCCTTTGGTCCATGTCACAGTTGGAGGATGAGACAGACATGGAGCTGGAGCAGAGCACCTCAAACTCACTGAGGCTCCCTCCTCCACCTTCAGAGCTGACGGAGTCAGAGTCGGTCTGGGAGGAACATCTGGTGAGAAGGTCCATTTGAACGTCACTAAAGCGTCACTTCTACATTTTGTTCACTATTTGCCAAATTAAATGAATGCAAAACAAGTTAAACAAATCTCTAATGAGTGAAATGTTAATAAACACATTACCTGTGACTGAAATTGTAATTGTTTGTTTAAAACTATATTTTAGTTTGTTGTCACATTCCAACCTGAAGAAATAACTATTGCTGCCAGCAGGCTGAATGTTGTTCAGGGTTGTGGTGCAGGTTTTTTTTGTCAAGTCTCCTGTCAGTTCTCCATTATTTAAACGTGTTTGTGGATATTTGCTGTCAAACACAAGAGTGTCATCGTTGAACCATTGTGCTCTACATGTGTCATCTAGGTTTGATTCATATTGATCTTCTATCTCAAAGGAGCAGGGGATGGTCACACAGGATCCTCTAAGAACCTCTATAGTCTGCGGCACAAATGCCTTAAACCTTTTACTCTGAGCACCTGAAACACAAGAAACAAATCGGGAATAAGAACAGTTGAATAATAGTTTACAGTTTTTACTTTCGTTACCTCGCTCAAATTCTTAGACTATTTAAAATAAAGTCACTACTTTGTTCGCACAATGTTTTTGTGTCTCAACAAAAAAATATTCAGGCATCAGATTACATTTTTGAGAAAAAGGCAGCAGAACACTTTCATAATCCAACATTTTTAATACTCAATGATCCAGATGTGAATGCAGTGCAGCTCACCTTGCAGCAGAGAACCAATGAGAAGGAGAGTCAGAGCTGCAGCCATCTTTGTGAGTCAGGAGAGGCAGAAACTCTGGAGATTACACATGAAAAAAGCCACATGTTTAGAGCATTTACGTAGGGTTTATTCATGAGGCTCTAATGAATAAAACAGTTGCAGAGGTTTTGTCGGAGAAATTCTTTGCTGAGTCTATTTATTTATGATATTATCAATATGAAGGTTCATAAAAAGTGTTTCTGGGCTTCTGAATCACTGAAACATTAATATTTCAGTTGTTTTATAGATAGATATTTTTGAAACCTGGAGATGAAGGTATTCAATAAAACTGAAACGATTTAGTAGTTATATTTATTGTGTGAGAAAAACAAATAATGGTTTATGTTGCTTCGTAATATTCAGTCCGTCACTGAAACCAGACGCTGCTTTTTCAACACACCATGGAAGGTGAAATGATGAAATGAATGATGAACAACAAGCCACATGTTCACTGCATTTCACCCTTAAGTAATCATTCCAGAGTAGGGTGCATTAAAAAAGCCACCATTGAATGCAGCATTTGCTGGGGTTATTCATGTCAATAATTCCTTTAGATTTTTTCAATAAGGGTCAGAAGAAGCGATAATTCGGAGCCTTTGGATTTTGATATAAATAAAGAATAATTTCTTTCCATTTTCAGCCATAGTTGCAAATTGCATAAACAAGTTCAATGCAGTTCCCCGAAGGAAATTATCAAGTGTAACAAAATACACCTAAAGCCTTTGGATGAAATATCAATTTATGAACAAAAATAATATTTCAGGGGATCTTTACATTCTACTCTGAATAAATGTGTTTTGCTGTGAGAAGTCGCAGGTGTTTTGTGCTGTTTATGGATTTATTTAACGTGGTACTTTAGAAAATGAGGATTGCAGATTTGACCTTTTTTAAGGTAAAGAGTGTTTTTTGTTTGGGAAACAGTGAAGAAACGCTAAATTACAAAACAAACATTTCACAACATGGTAATGACAATCATCAAAAAGAAAAAGGGAAGTTAGATGTCTAAAACATGTAGTGACAAAAAATTGTATTTACTCATTTTTTGTTTAAATATAGATTTTTAATTTACTAGTAAGCAGCTTCAAACAATATTAAGAAAACCATGATTGAATTCCCTTCTAAAATGGAATGTTCTCTAAGCCATCCTCCCTGCGTCTTTTATTCACTTTTAAAAATAAGCAATTTTATGATGTTTGAATTAACGCAGAGCAAACCAAACTTACACCTATCAAAAATCCTGCTATTTCGATCTCATGCTTTGACTGTTACGTATTATTGAAGTTATGAGCACTTACGTTTTTACCGGACCTGCTTCACAGACAGATGTCCGCGGTGAAGTCGAGTCCTCTAGAAGTGATGTGGATTTTGTAGAGTTTGTATGTATTTTCAAAAGGAGGAAGTTGCACTACTGTAAGATGTTGGCTGGTTCCAACTTTGAGCAACTTATGTGATGAGGTCAAAAGGTCTCCCAACAGTAGTGTTCTTTGGTTATGAGGACAACACAGAGTTCAAAAGTCTTCATTTTATTGCTGATGAAGAGAAAAAGAGAAAATTAGGGTAATCTTTAACATTCCATTTAGTTGACCTCTGTTGGTTTCTTCTTTTTATTGATTCATTCATTCACCTCCTCATTGTTTGACACATTTCAAATTCAACCTTTCTCTTTCCTTAAAAATATATGTTTTTATTTTTATCCAACCTATTATGTAAAAAAACATTTTGAAATGGGTTTGCACGATTGATAAAGATACTTCTATAAAGATAAACATACTTCTGTTACACATGCAGTTAAACTGACTTTTCCTTCAAATCAGTCTACGGTAAAAGATTGCAACCAGTATTATTCACACTTGCTTTAACTTTTCAACCCCACCTTTCTATTGAAATTCAAACAGACTTATACCAGATTATTAAAGCAACCTCACCTTCAGCTTTCGCGGGTGCGAGTGGCTTGCTGATGTCCCTGCAGTGTCTCTCCACCCAGACTTGCAGAAACTTTAGGGCAGCTCTCCTCAGCCGCGCACGCCATCTGCAGGCCATGGCCACGGCGTTGGAAGGCGTCCTCTCCGGCAGGGACAGGTAGTCGGCAGAGGACAGCACCTCGGCATCACGCAGCCAACGCAGCAAGGGCGCCGGGTGGTCAACAGTCCACTTCAGCAGCACGTCCCTCTGGGACCCCAACAACTGCTGAGCCGAGTCCACGTCTCAAACACACTTTAAGTATGAAAAGTAGATTTCAGACAAGAAATCTCTGCAAATACTCATACATACATGCTTACCTTAGAGAATCATTTTATTTATAGCTCATGCTCACGATCCCTCTCGTATGGTTTTACCATTACAGGCGGGAGTGTTTGCATGAGAGCTTCTGTGCTCCTTCTCAAGGTGCAAGGAGGCGGAGTGTGACGACTTGCCGGAGGCGGCAATACAGCCTTCCAAAGGATCCATGGTTGAATCAGGAATCAGGAAACATTTATTAGCCAAAATATGTCAAACATACAAGGAATTTGTCTTGGCGGTTAGTGCGCGACAGACAAGACCACAGTACACAAGTAATAAAATAAAATAAAGTGAAAGTGTTCTGATTAGTCGCTCCTGTCTGATCTCCCAGAAATGTGCCAATCCCCCTTTCGAGTGACTTGGAGGTGGCACACGAGGTGGAGAAAATGATCAAACTGCATGTATTTTTACTACATGGTGGGAATCTGAATTGTGGGGGAAAAAACACTGACTAAGGCTTAATATTATATATATATATATAAATAATTTATAATATTTTTGAACATGCATGGATCAGCATTCTAAACAGTCTCTTGCTAAAGTACAAAAAGTTCTACAAGACATTTCTGTCTCTTCTTGAAGGTTATTCTTTTGTTTTAGTTTAGTTTATTTAATTTTAATTTAATAATTTAATATTTTTTTATCTTATTATGTTGTATATAATGTGTATATAATGTGTATCTTTTAATTCTATTTTCTTCTTCCATCCTCTTATCCAACTGCAATGACTGTAATGTATTTATTGAGAAGTGAACAGCGATAAATAAGTGTAAGACAGACAAGTTCATCGTTAACCATTTCTTTTGGACTTGCAATGGAACTTGTATGGCTTTCCCTCCTATCACACTGTCAGTATAAAGGGAATCAGAAAAAAAAGGCGCTTAGTTGGAGACTTTGAGTCACTCTCACAGCGTGAGCGTGACTCAGCCGCCGTCATGTGCCGTCGCCACTGACACTTGCTGAGGTTTCTTTCCGAACTGTTCTTACATCCACCATGAGCATGTGAAGCGGTCAGATTTAGCTATAGCATTTTAATACATTTATAAAATACTGTTTAGGAAAACATGGAAACATTATTTTACATTTTAAAAATAATTATTTCACTGTTTTTCACCAATCACCACGTCAAATTCCTTGAGTGTTTAATTATGAATTATTATAATTATTATTAATAATGAATTATTACTTAATTATTATTAAGTCTAATGAATGGATGCAAACAAGACAGAAGAGAGTGAGCTTTTTGGTAGAGTTGAGGAGGTAAGTGGAGGCATCCAAATGAAGCCATAGTACCAGCAGCACATGACGCAACACTCACCCAACTTCCCCTCTTCGCTCCCTCGTCCGTCCTCTCCTCTGTCTGTGCTGATAGAGCTGGGCTGCAGTCATGCATGTGGACACTGTCTTTTTAGTGTGGCCTCTGATATTTGGTAAGTAATTTAAACCTGTAACATGTATCCTCTTATTTTTTAGATGTCTTCCGATTTATATAAAGATATTGTTCGTTACGTATGTGTTCTGAAATCATGCCCTGTTATTATCATAAGTATTAATGAAAATGATGTATGTCTCCTGCAGAAAATGTAATCACTGCATTAGATTCACAGATGGGGATACTTAAATTTTCTTTTTGTGTTAATTTTATTATTTTCCTGAAGTTGATGGAAAAACTTTTGCAAACGTTTCCCAAAATAATGAAGATAATATTTTTATTAAAGAATGAACTACATGGTAGACTTCCTAGAGCCAGACGTGCAGTTACCCTCTTCCCTTTTCTAATTATAGATCTGTTGCAAAACAATTCGGGGTCATTTTATGCATTAGCACTGCAGGAGAAGACAGCATAACCTCGCGTTAGCTCAAATGTATCATTTGTGCTGAGCTTTCCAAGAGATATCATGGAAATTAATTCAGCGAGACCTGTGAGAGCTTCGTAGCTTCCAGCGCACATGTTTTAATCAGCCATGCACTCTTTGGTGGCCAAGTTAACAAACCAGCGGCCTCTGATGATTTACGGCATGGTGACTTTAGATCCTGCGTATTGATCATTCCAGTCCTTTCTCCACCACAGCAGCACGCCTGTGGAGGACGGTCCACGCCGTCTCTCCTGTGCCCTCAGTCCCCGACCGCGTCCAAGCCCTGGTGGGCTCCTGCGTGGTGATTCCCTGCTCGTTCCCTGCCCCAGCCCCCCTCAGGGGGAGGACGGAGAGGGTGGACGTCCGGTTGAGGTTCCGAGGCGGTGGGCCCTTTTTCCCTCTCCGCAGCACCGCCTTCAACAGCGAGGACAGAGATCAAGTGAGCCGGGACTTCCAAGGCCGGGCGTCCCTCTTTGGGAGAATCCAGGATGGAGACTGCTCGGTGAAGGTGGAGAAGATCAGCCGGGACGACTCGCGGGTGTTTGAGATCACTCTGAAGAAAGGGGATGACTTACTCTGGGGGAGGCCAAAGCGCTTCAATCTGGACGTTTTGGGTGAGTGGTGGACTCACTGTGGTGCCTTCTGGTCCTCCCAGTGGTTCTTTTGGATATCAGATACAAGCCAGAACTAGGATGGATGATGTAAATGCTGTATTTAGATGCTTAATTACACACACTGGACGACACATGACTAACTGTGTGTGTCAGTGGATATTTTGTTCCCTTCAGGTGAAGTCACAGCAATAAATATGTTTAAAAATACAAATGGATTAGATGGATTAGGCGGAAATCGTATTTTAGTACCTTAAATACACATTTACACAGTCCCTGCATCTACATTCATTCTGAGCAAAAAGAGAGAAAAAGTGAATGACGGAGATTTCCCCCCGCTGTCAGACACCCCCGAGGCTCCCGTCATCAGCGGCGTGTCGTCGGCCACGGAGGGCCAGCTGGTCAGCCTGAACTGCTCCGTCAGCTACCACTGCCCCCCGAGACCCCCTGTCCTGCAGTGGAGCTGGGAGAGAGGAGCCCAGCCGAACAGCACCGAGCCCGGGGAGGCGCAGACCCTCCACCCCGAGCCCCACAGGCCCATGCTGCTGGCCCCTCTGTCCTTCACCGTGTCCCACCAGGTGAAACCCAGGCTCAGGTGTGAAGTCCGCTTCCCGGGAGCAAAAGCCGTGTCCGTTTCCAGGGACCTGCATGTGACATGTGAGCAGCTGTGACAAGGACATTTGATTTTTCTTTGCTGGGTTTAATTTCTTTTAACTTCTTCTTTTCTCGTGTTCTGTAGTTTCACCGAAAGACGTGGTGGTCCAAGTCCAGTCCTTGGTGGTGAGGGAGGGGGGGAGCGCCTTGTTGGTCTGCTCCTGTAAAGCTGACCCCCCGGTGACCGAGTACCGCTGGTCCTACAGCCAACGCGGCCGCACCGTGCACCTCCACCAGCGCACGCACACGGTCCGGCTGTTCAACGTGACCCGGGACATGAGGGTCCGCTGCACTGCCCAGAACGCGATCGGTCGGGCAGAGTCTCGGCCCACTCCGCTGAACGTACAATGTAATCCTTCCTCCGTTAGGCCCGCCTGCCATGGCCGTACGTTTGGTCTATTCGAACGCACGGACCAACGTGCACGAAAACCAAGCTGACAATGAATCATCATCCTTTTGTTGTCCTTCTGTTTTGTCCTTTTGTTTGTTTCACCTCTGACTGGTCGGGTGTGGTCAGACTTGCACCTGTACAGTAATATCACATTATTATGCATTTTCCAGGTTGTCTTTTAAGGGCAATATTTTGACATTTGCACAGACAAACCGGCCATCCTGCGGCTCTCCGCCTGCGTGCTGGAAGATCTGGAAGTGCTTTGTCGCTGCTCAGTCGACTCCAACCCCGAACCGGCGGTGACCTGGAGCGTGAACGGCACCGTTCCCCCTCTGGGCTACAACGTGTCGGTGACGTCTGAGCCCGACGCGCTGACCGCCACTCTGAGAGGCCGCATGGACCGACCTCAGGCCGTGGTCTGCTTCGCGCTCAACGCGCTGGGGAACGACTCCCTGGTGTTGCTCCGGGGAGGAGGAGGTGAGTTCAAAGCCCGGCTTCCCCGTGCTGACACAACGACAGCGGCTCTGACTCTGACAAAGTGATGGTACCATGTTCGGGGAGGGGAAATAGTGTTGTATCGTTCTTTCACGTCATCCATCGCTGCTCTCTTTGTCCAATAACAGAGATGTTCCCATTGTTGTGGTCGGTGATACCCGCCGTGTCCATTTGCCTGGTCGTATTCCTTCTGTCGCTTCTTTTCTACTGCGGCCGAAGGAGGGCGGTAAAGTACGTGAGACACACCGGCCATTCAAAGGCTGACATGCGTTGGTCACACTTGCCCGTTGGGTCTAAGCGCTTGTTGTGCTCCTCTCAGACATGGCCTGAGCAGACGTCCAGCCGTGTACCCTGAGGGAATGGGGATTTATCAGGACCAGATGCCGCTCTACATTAACTGCACAGAAGTGACTCATATCTACACCAACGGCAGCTACCAACTCGTATACCAGAACTGTACACCTCACTTTGTCCACAACAAGCAGGTAGGTGCCATGGCATTCGCATACATCTCTAAATATCCTAAATTTGTAATGTCTTCTTTGTAATTCTGGATTAGTGACATCTGCTCATTTCTTCCCCAGATCCGTCCAATAGGCAGGAGAGGTGGGGAAAGGAGGAGAGCAGGAGAGGACGGAGGATTAGACAGACGAGTGGGGTTGGGAGTGGGAGGCACGAGGGAGGTGCAGAGTACCTCTGGGGCCGAAGCAGAGACCGCAATCTACCTGGAAATCCTCTGAGCTCACTGTGGAGAAGACCCACGATTCAATGGATACATTAAACTCCCGTTTGACGTCAGGTTAATGCTCACTGATGGTAATATTTCGCACATCCGTTGTGTGATCTACTGGTGGTCTTTCCCATAGTCTCCATATTGAACAATGTATGCCTCTTTGAATGTTTGCCTGCCTACGTGCTTTTTTTTATTAAATCTATTCTTGTGTCGACTTTATTGTAGAGCGTAATTACAATAATAATAATGTTTTGTTTGGTCACGGTGATTTTTGACCTTTGACCTCTAAATTCCGGAGCAGTTCTCGTTTGTGCGCGTGTTTGTACCAAATCTACAGAGACTGAGTAGTGAGCTCACAGTGACCTTTGCTCCTGGAGTCAGAGTGACATCCATTGGATGGAGTGTGTGTGAGTATTGTATGGGTCTCCCAAGGAGAAGGAGATCAGGATCAGGATCAGGATCTTATCCCCCCCCCCCCCCCCCCCGACGTAGGGATAATGATGTGCCATATCTGGTGTAGAGATCTCTACTTTTGCATTGTTCATTCTGTACATCTGAACATCCATCGTACTCTGTCCATTCCAGGAAAGGAATCCTCATATTTTACTCTTCCTGAGGTGCCTCTTTTCTCCAGATTAAAGGATTTTAATGATTTTTCTGGAGTTTTTCCTGGGCAGATGTAAGGGTCAAATGTCAGAGGATGTTGCAGATTGTAAAGCGCTGTAAATCAAATTTTAATCTGTAATTTGGGACTGTACAAAATAAATGTAAAATCAAAGCTTCATATGTTAATGCTGCATTCTCTCTACTGACCACCGGGGGGAGACTCCTCTGGGTGAATGGAAGCCCATAAGGAAATGACTACAACCTTGATTTATGTTCTCAGTAAATGTTTTCTTCAATACAGCATGGTGTTCATTTAGTAAATAATATACTAATATGTAAAAATCTATATATTTAATGAGAAGGTGTGTCCAAACGTTTGACTGGTTCTGTATGTATGTTTTTACATATATAACATACATAGGTGCTATACGCACTCTGAGCCGTTGGTGGCGATAGAACTGTGACTCCGCTGCAATTAAACTGCAGAAGAAGAACGCAAAGCGTTCTCATTGGTTGGAAACGAGAAACGCGTCATAGCACCACACGGGCTTTTGGTGGGAATATGAGTTCGCTTCCATTCACATTTGACTTAACATTAAAAGCATTAATGTATGTCTTGTTGTATTAAACGTAAAGACAAACTAAGTGGCTGTGCTTCGTACACGTAATAATTGAGCGGGTCTGCGCGTAACAGCTGTTGAGGTGCGTTAAAATCCTCAGGCCATTCAGGGAAAGTTCACTCTGCCTATTGTTTGCTAGCATGCTAACACGTTAGCCGACGTGATAGTAGAGTCAATCCACGTTAGTTTTGTACGCTACCTTTACAGTCACTAAAGAACACTCTATGTGTAATTAGTTGCCGACGACATCGGTCAGTGTCACGACAAGCTGCCGATTCAGCCAGATAGTTAATCTGTAACCTGCTCAGGAGCAACAACAACATGCCAGAAATCCGACTCAAACACGTCGTGTCTTGCAGCACCGAGGACACTGTAAGTTCTCTTCTCCCTGGCATTGGCTTCTGTATATATATATATATATATATATATATTATATTTTGATAACAAGCTTTGTAGATGTAATTTGTAATGTGAGCTTCACCTCCACTCACTTCTTGTCGTAATGCACAACAGACACACAAAGCGGACAACCTGCTGAGCTCTGACACCTACAGAAAGTGGAAAGCAGCGAGACCCGGCGAGAAGCAGATATCGGTCATCCTGCAGGTAATCTGAGGTCTTTTCATCCCAATCAAACGCTGGCGCTTCAATCTATATTACTATGGCTGGGATTACCTGCCAAAGACTTCTCTGTATGCATCCAATCCCCCGCACGTTTTTTGTCATGCTGTGAAGTCGAGTGTGTAAAGTGTGAGCACATTTGCAAGAATACAACACGTTGGAAATGTTGACTTCAGCCTCCACTCCTCCTATGTTGACGTATTTCAGTCCTTTTGAAGATGCTGCATGTCCTTCAAGTTAAAACCTTCTGCAACTTGCGATGAACATTCACCTATGAATCCATTTATTTTGTTTTTCTTAACTACAGAATCTCTCCAAACAGTTGCAGTTGTCATCATCATTATCTCAAGTATTAGTAGGAATTAGCCTGTTTATTGAATCTTATTAAAAATGCTGCAACTACAAAGCTTTTAACAAGGTGTGAGTTCTCCTCCTGCCTGAAGGATCAATGGTTCAGTTACACACATTATGCTTAAAGCAAATTGAAGTACGTGTAGTTCGATCTTTAAGGATCAGTGGGTCTATTCGCACATATGGATAAGTGTATTTCCTTGGCATGATCATGTTATTAAGCTTCTTTTGTTTACTCGTAGCCGCGTTGTCAACTTGTCGTGCTTCGCTCTTCTCACAGCTGGAGAAGGAGGAGCAGGTGCACAGCATCGATATTGGAAATGAAGGGTCTGCTTTCATCGAGGTGCTGGTGGGGAATTCTTCAGCCGTCAGAGACCAGGACTATGAGGTACGTTCTTGCAAACCACGGTCAACGTATTTCACCTCCTGACTATTGTAATTTCCCTGCTGCTGTGTTTTGATGTTTTTCACTTTGATGCCGCCGTGGTCCAGGTTCTGTTGGTCACGTCTTCCTTCATGTCCCCCACGGAGAGCCGCAACGGCACCAACATGAACCGAGTGCGTTTCTTCGGGACGACGCAGCTGCAGAAGAGTCCCGCACAGGAAAAGTGGGACCGAGTGAAAATCGTGTGTAGCCAGCCGTACAGCAAGGTGAGGGCCCACCATTGGAATTACAGATACAGGACAAACTAGAGTCCAAAATGCAACCATTCAGTTGTACTCTCACAGCCTAAGAACCAAAATAAAGCTTACTTCCTTGACAAGAGAGGTAATCAGAGCCCATGTGTGTCTTTGAGGTTACGTCAGCTACGTGGAATCGTCTTTCCAACTTCCCCGTTTGAACTGAAGGGGGAGTAACAGACTTTAAATGTAGACTTTTATTAGGTGAAAGGGGGACGTTGCAGGGAATCTAAAAACTAGCTTCTCTTCAATAGTGAGTTTGTCTTACTGTGACCCTTTTTGTGGTATTTTGAAAGAATAGTATCAAAACTGTATTAGTTTAAAATAATAATACATTTATTTTGATTAAAGGTGGATGTCATCCCAAGCATTCACCCTATTCCTCTGCTAATGAGCATGTATTTATTGTTTTTCGTGCGATTATGACAGATGAATGTGTGTGTGTCCTCTGCAGAACATCGCCTATGGACTGGCCTTTGTGAAGTTCCATTCACCGCCTGACAAAAACGATCCTCCTGCGACAGCCTCCCCGGTGAGTCCTGCTCCCAAAAAGCCACGTTTTTTGCCCGAAACCATGATGATAATATACAATTACAGTTTTTAGTACTTACACAAAAACAATGCTTTTCCACAACATTATAATTAACTTGCATAACGTTATCATGAGGCAAAAGCTTTGCTTCTATGATGATGAATCATTGCTGGATACAAAACACATGTAAACCAGATTATCTGACCACACATTGATGACATGTCTCGATCCCCAGTCCTTTTTAAATAGGTTTTTTTGTAATTAACTACTAATTACAAGGAGAATCCTTCGTTATGCAAATAAGAGTTGTTCATTTGTGATTAGAGATCAAAGGGAAAATTGACCCAAATGAGTCCCTCCGCCTTCTCGTTGGTATAAATGTTCTCCTTCTCCCGTCCTGGCAGAAACTCACCAAGTTGGGGCAGTTCAGGGTGAAGGAGGAGTCTCCCTCCGTCAGTCCCAGCCTTCAGCCGGGAAGTCTCTTCTTCAGTCGCGACACTGCGACAAAGTCCAGTACTCCACTCAAAGGTAAATCCATCCATTCAAACTTAACCACTGCTGAAGACCAATAAAACACTTTGATGGCCTTGTAACTATAAATTGCTATAATAGTACGAAAGAAAGAGAGCACTGCTTTGGTTCATTTAAGGCTATTTGAGTGTGAGAGGAGGCGAGAGGGACGGTTTCAAAGGCATTCCTTGTTGTCAAGCTACTTTGTTCCCTCAGCAGCACCTTTCTGCCTTCAGTGTCTCCTCAGAGCGAGAGGTTGAGCTACGCTGCTGCCGCGCTGCAGGCGGGGGCCGGGTCCCACTCCTCGGCGCAAGGTCCCTCCTCCAGTTCCTCCAGCTCCGCCTCGCCTCAGGTAGACGGTTTGGTTTTCTTCACACTGGCGTCGCAGTTTGTGACGAGAGATTTGTCTTTTTAAATAATAGTCTGTAACTTTAGGATGAAGGAAAATTCTGAAATATTAATCAGCTTATCATTTTGGCCCTCAATAAGAAGTAAGGTTTCAGAAACCCAAGGAGGTGTAAAAAAAAAAAAAAAGTATTTCCACATTACAGTGTAAAAATCGATTCTGTTCTTGATTTTTACAGCAGATGTCTCGCCTAATGTGTTTTTCAAAAGCCTTTTCTTATTTGGTCAAATGCATTTTATAGAGCGAAATAGTGTTCTTTGAAATTGCACGGTTGGATATAAATGCATCAGTATAATTGTGCCTAAGCCCACTCACTCCTGCCAAATAAATCCACATCAGCTCCAATGTCACTCTGACCTTGGAACAGGGAAAAAAAAAACAGAAAGACCTAGAGCTGCACAAGCGGGTGACCTTTAAATGGAGGTGTGGGCGGCTTGTGTCCCCCCCCCCGTGGTCTCCTTCCTCAGATGCACGGCTGCTTTTTCTTCCTCTCCGAAAAGACTCATGAGCGTCCCGTACTCCTTGTTTCCCCGTAGCCACCAACAAAAAGGAAATTTGAGTTTGGCAAAGAGCGGCAGTCCACCTCCGGCCTCTCGCCCTCGAAGAAAACGAGCCCGGCCGGCTCGCCCGAGGTCAAAGCCGCGACCTCCAAACCCAAGCCGAGCCCGGCCGGCACGCCGAGCCCCGGCGCCCCCAAAGGTGACACACCCGCGCCCGGATCTCATCAGGCGGACCGCTCTTCCACCTCCTTTTTTAAAAACTTTTGCGCATCCTCTCCGCAGCTTCGCCGGCGTTGAAGTCTGCCGACAAGAAGCGGGAGAGCCGACCCAAACCCGAACCCCAGAAAGCCGGCGGGCCGCAGGTCCCGCTCAAGCGGATAATGGAGGGGGTGGTGTTTGTCCTCAGCGGCTTCCAGAACCCTTTCCGGGGGGAGCTGAGGGAAAAGGCTCTGGAAATGGGGGGTAAATATCGACCCGACTGGACCCCCGACGCCACGCACCTCATGTGAGTATCCGGCAGGAGGGAGCTGGAGGTCCTCGCTTCCCCGGCTCCGAATCCACGAGTCACTCTTTCCCCTGCGGCCAGCGCTTAGTGTTGCGACACATTGCACCACGGCGTTTACACAGAGACTCCACGGGCCTCTTTTGTTGTCCTTACTAATAGTTCAAAGAACATTTCAGCTTGTTTGAAGTACCTGCAGCAGTGCCGTACGCTGGCATCTCAAAGACGGCGTAATTCACCGTCTCTGCCAGTTCTCGGATGAAAGTATAACACAAAATGAGGTTTCTGCATTGCCAAGACATCAAATAAAGTTGTTGCTGCAGGCAACTCAAAAAGTTGAAGTCTTAAGAAGGACTGAGCCTCCTGGGAGGCGAACAAAAGACAAAAATGAGGAGCTATGGCAACAGTGCACGCTGTGAAACTGTGATATTGGCAAGTGGTAAGAAATGTAATGAAATGAGATTCATTCATGAGATTTTTGACATGTTTCTTTTGCAGAATGTCTGAGGAAACATGTCCTTGCCGGATGTGGATACACAATCAAATGTTCTTTATTGACATTATTTATTCAGACGTTCAACATTGATGGTGTCTTAATAGCTCCAGAGATGTTCTCTCGGGAGGTTTTTATCTGCAGTAGATTATTTATCATTACACAGATTGCCTGGTGAAAAGCCCTGTTAGCCCTCTGTCTTTCATTTTGATTGCTCCTTGATCTCTGCTGTCAAAGCAGAGTATTACCCTGTCAGATTCTCTCCATTGCCGTAACTGTGTGTGTGTGTGTGTGTCTGTGTGTGTGTGTGTGTGTGTCTGTGTGTGTGTGTGTGTGTTGGCCCACTAACTGCAGCTGTGCCTTCGCTAACACCCCCAAGTACAGCCAGGTGAAGTCCGCGGGGGGCATCATCGTACGGAAGGAATGGGTGATGGACTGCCACAAGAGGAAACAGAAGCTCCCCTGCAAACGGTAAGAGGGAGGATTTTATGTGTTAATTCATTTTATCAAAGGAGTGAAAGTGCAATGAAGCCTGTATCAGAGACCGCCGAACAGCTGGAACAGCTGGTTGGGATTCCGTTTTTTGTCGCTTAGCCACGTGTGTGTGTGTGTGTGTGTGTGTGTGTGTGTGTGTGTACACAACCACATGGTGACAATCTGTGCACAGCACTCCCGCTGGTTGAGGCGCCCAAACCGTCCCTGCAGCGGTGTGACCTTGAGCAGCTGATGCTGATACTGATGCCTGCTGCGAGCGCGGATCCCAGCAGGCCGCGTCCAGCAGCTCGCTAATTAGGGGCCTGGTTTACACGGGGAGCTGCAGCAGCTCATGAGTCGGCACTGAATAATGTAGAGCAGAGTACTCGTCTCGCGCTGGTCTGAATGTGTCGGAGGAGTTGCACTGTGTGCAACCACGTGCCGAGTTGCAGCTTTTGTCCGTCTCGGTTGATTGAACGCGTTCGTGTTGTGTGCTGCTGATTGGACGAAAAAAACGGACTGTTTAGTTTTTCTATTTGTCATTTCATAGAGAAAACAAATGAAATAAGTAATTGACTGATGAATCGCTGACAAACTCGTGGTCCCTCGCCTCTTAGTCAATTCGTGATGGTGTTAAACATCCCTCCCGCCCAGCAGCAGCGCCCCCCACCCCCTCCCGCACTCTCGTTGCTGGAATAATCCATTCCCCTGCCCAGCAGCGCTATTGTGCAGTGCGTGTGTGGAGTGTGCAGCTTTGATGATGTGTCTTTTATTTAAAGGCTGCATCTGCTATGGGTGATTAAAGGGACCACTTACTTTGATGAAGACGAGTGGCCAAACAAATACGCGCACTCTCAAACTGTCGAGTGAGTGAGTGAGTGAGTGTTTATGTGTGTGTGTGTAAAAAAAAATATATATGTGTGTATATATATATATATATTTATATTAAAGGAAACTATTGAATCAGCCAAGAACCCCATGGATCCGTCTCCACAGTTCTTATCCAGTCAGTAAGAATCCAGATACAAAGAAAGAAGAGCAGGAGGCACTCGAGCAGCTTTACAACATCCCGTGACAATAGGGCTGAATAATTAAACCCATTTCTCATTAAAACTCAGGCTCTGTTGCAACAATTGGGGAAAAATAGTTTGCCCGTGCGAGCCACTATATCAGCCTGATCACTAAATCAAGGTGATTCTAAACCTAATTGCCCAGAAAAGAAACAAGTAGAAGCGTCGGGCTGCAACTAACGAGGCTTTTCCGTTATCGATCGGTGTGGCGCCTTCACGTGTCTTCTTTAAACAATAATATATCCAATTTACAGCAGTTTGAAACAAAGAATGTTTGACACCTTTTCCACAAGCGAGATAGAAAAAGAACCGGTGCCTTTTCATTTTCCAATTCCCCTCGAGTGTTCTGAAGCGAGTCTCAGGGGGTCAGTCAGATGTCAGCTGCGTGGGCAGATATAATTCCCCTCCTGCGGTAGAGTTTGGACTCTCTGCTCTCAACACTTGGGAAGTGATGGGGGGGGGGGGGGGGTTGCGTTTGGTGAAGGGGTGTTCCTAGAAATGTCACATCCTCATTGAACCTCTCTCTCTCTCTCTCTCTCATTGTGGAACATTTGGCGTTCTCTTTCTCCCGACGCTCTCTTAACCTTTTTATGAAGATCTTTACAGACGCCTTCATCGTCTGCTCACAGCAGACTCTCTTCATCCTTCAGGGATTTTATCTTCTGCGACTTCTACTTGATCTCTTAATTACCTGCTGCGGGGGTCGGGGTTACGCTGTGCTTTTACTTCTTCTTATTGGTCTCTTCCACCAAACATTTGAATTACATTTTGATAGAAAGGGCCGCCGTGGGCAACGCGACAAGGGATATGTTCTTGGTTCTTGACCTAATGAATGTGTCCATTGCAAATAAAAACGCAGGCACGTGATTCCATGATTATCTGCCTCCAAAAAAACAACCAAGCCCTTTTAGAATGTCTTCATCACATCTCCAGTGGTGATCTACTTAACAATATATGCAAATGCAAAACCGATTAGTGCTGATGAAATCTGTCTCCGAACCAAAAGCATTTATCGCAGGCCCTGAATTTACTCAAAACATTTTCAATATCTTTATCCGCTGCCACGTTATTACATATACGTTTGTGTGTAAGACATAAAAGAAATGCAGGTGTGCTACCGAGTAATTTCTACACACGTTCGATATCGCTTCCAATTCGAACCCGGTGTCATATTCAGCCGTCTTTTACTAATTTTGAAATGCAAAAATATACATATTTGCATTACTTTGCATATGAATGTTAGCGTGGGGCGCAGAAGTCACAACGTGGGTTCAGGTCGGCCAGGAGGGAAGTGCGGTAGATTAGAGTAGTAACCCTAGAAAGTATTTAGAATACAGACATTGTTGGTGGTAATATTCCCTTTGAACCTTTTGGTTCCACTGTCGCGTCCTGTCGCCTGCGGCTTTCGATCATCCTGACGCTCTTTGTCCGCCTCGCTCTTTGTCTTCAAGGTATCTGATGGACGGAGCCGAGTCGAGCTCCGAGAGCGAGATGGAAGTGGACGAGCAGAGTGACGAGGAAGTCAAAGCAAAGGTGGATTGTTTTTTTTCTTTTTACTTTTAAGTGAGCCTATTCGAGTTGATCTAAAGCAGGGGTGCTCAATACGTCGATCGCGATCTACCAGTCGATCTCCAAGGTACTATTGGTAGATCGCATGACAAGGTGAGGTGACATTGTCATGAACTGACGCTATACAAATAAAGTTGAGTTGTTTTGAATAAAAAAACTAGACGTCAGCCTATCAGCCATCCCGTCACTTGATTGATACACAGGACAACCAGTCAGATGACATCTGATTTTTCCCCCCGTACAATTAGGTCACTGTGCGTGTTCAAACAACGCCCCTGAGCGCTGCAAAGCTAACAAGCTAGTCGTTAGTTACATCCTAATTTTTCGCTCGGTTTTTTCCTCTTAAACGTAAGATAGGGTATAAAAATGAGTGGGGGAGCTGGACCAAGTAAAAAGAAAAAAACCTATCACTTTCATACGGAATGGGAGGAGGACTTTTGTATGGACTATGTAGAGGTGGACTATGTATCCCTGGCTGATTCAATTCAGTGCAAGTCATCAGAGTGAGCTCAGGTGATGGCAAAAAATGTACATAATTATGTTGTTCAGTCTGTTCAGTTCTGAATTATGTTGTGTTGTGCAACATATGTGGTTATACATCAACATAAGTTGTAAGAATCCTCAATATATTTCTCAATAAATATAATGGGTAGATCATTTTGACTTGGTCATTTCAAAAGTAGCTCCCATGCTGAAAAAGTGTGAGCACCCCTGATCTAAAGAGTAATCTTTCTTTATCCATGTCCTTGCAGACTCCACAGAGACAGGTGACCCCCAAGAAGGCCCCGGAGAGGAGGACCGAGGAGGACGAGTACGCCGGCTCCACGGACGTGGAGGAAACAGGTTTGAGTCCAAAGTATTTTAAAAGAAACGTTCACTGAAAAAAGCTTATTTGAATGAATCCACACTTCTCTTCAGTCCCTTTGCGTATTGCAGAAACTATTCGGATAAAAAGGGGAAGCCAGATAGCGGAGACGCGTCTCTGTGACTTGCAAAGACCTTTCCATTGATTTGTAGCTGAATTGAATCTGCAGAAGTGGACAGATGGGAGTAAGGACAGGGGAGGAAGGTCTATTGTGAAGCTGAAGTGGAGGAAAACAAAAAATGACAGGCAGGATCAAAGAGGGCACTTAGAGGCTGGATGAAGTCTGAGAATAAATTAACTAAAAAGAACAAACTCACAACTCTAAGTGCTCGTGTTTCCTTTAGATCCACCAGGAAGTTCAGATTGGCTTCATCTCAAACTGAATGCTCTAACATTCCTTTTTTTGTTTGATTTAATTCCCCTTTCATTTGCATTTGGAAATCTTTGTCTGTGTATATATTAAAAATGTGTTATATTTTTCTAAAGTTGTTTCGCTTTAGGCCATAAAAACGTAACGGGTGATGGATGGGTGATAGGGGGGCGGCGACATGCAATCTCTGTGAAGGGACTTGTGCATGATTCTCATTTCTATGTTAATGCGAAGCCACAAGTAAAGTGCCGGTGAGCATCAGTGAGGCTACGAACACATAGCGGACAGACGGTGTTTTAATTAGAGCCGCCCACCCAACCCCCCTTCCCAGCAGGACGTCGGCTCTTTATCTGCTAATGAGTGTGGGTCACAGATATGTGGATTCATCCGGCATTTTCACTCTGAAAATTATTCAGTTGTAATATCAGCGATATTGAGCTGCTTCAGAAACATTGCAGAGGAACAGATGAAGCGCATTTAATGATGTTTCCTGATTTGTAGTAGTAACTTGATTTAAGATTAGGGCCAGCTGTTGGTATTTAAAGACACAAGGCCACGTGTTTGGCAGCGAGCCGGCGTCGTCAACAACAAGCATCCTAAACTGCCCACACGCGTCCTTTCTTGCCAGGCCTTTTTATTTTTTCCCGCCAGTTTTTTTTTTTTTTTTTTACCACATTGACCAATAACTGCGTTCTGTCACAGGAGCCGGCGATGACGAGTCGGCTGTGGACACGGAGGACGAGCTGCAGAGGTAAACGAGACGAATCGCTTCATTCCACATAATATTCTTCCTCTGCTCTCTTGTTGCCAAGCTACTAAAAAATAGATTACAGGCTACCGCCTCCGCGGGGTTTTAGGGTCGGGGCGGCTCAGGGGTCACAGCGGGCAGCCAGATCCTGTCTGTGTCTCGGAGGGTCCTGGACCCCCGGCTTGCTCCCTAGAGGCCGGCCGGCCGGGCGGCACCGTGGCCTCCATCGGCCTCCCAAAGAGGCTCTGACCGACATTAGAAGAAACGCTCCGACGAGACATCAAAAGACAGCGAGGTCACTTCTTCTTCTTCTGTGGGGGCCAACATTGAGTGATGGATGCGGCGTGTCCCTTCTGTCCCCCCTGCGACAGGGTGGAGATAGAGCAGCAGAAGAAAGCAGCCGAGGGGAAGCAGGAGGACCCGTACGGAGGGTCGACGGATGAAAACACCGACGCGGAGGCCGAAGAGGATCATCCCATCCCCGAGCTACCAGGTCCGCCTCCCCCTTTGTCCTCTTCTCTTTTGTCTGGAGACGTCCTCCCTTACCTGTCGGACCCCGACAGGAAGTAATATGATGGCCTCCTGCCTCTCGGGAGCTCCACACAGTGTTGCCGTGTTTTCTTTCCTGTTTCCAATCTGTGATTACTCCCTTTTGTCTGCTTAGCACTTCCACTCTGTCACTTTCATTCCAGACTTCCTGAGCGGAAAGCACTTTTTCCTCTACGGTAAATTCCCCAACAACGAGCGGCGCCTGCTGCTGCGATACATCGTTGCCTTTAACGGGTGAGGAAGCACGTGCATCATCTCTTGTTGGTACGCAGGCGTCTGGGTTCTAGTCTTTGTTTTTTCTGCAGGCTGATTGAGGACTACATGACGGAGAAGGTGCAGTTCGTGGTGACCAGCGAAGGGTGGCACGACTCCTTCGAAGACGTCAGTTGAGTCTTTGCTTCTTTTTCTGCGTAGCGACAAAGTGGAAAATCTCTTTTTAGAAAGCCACAAAGGGGGAGAGTGGGTGAATTCTTAGGAAACCTAGGTAGCTGCTTTGCGAGGTACAATCATTTCGCGTTTTTGGCTTTCAAAAAAAATGTTTCTAATTTTCTTTTCAAGGTGAAAATATTCATATTCTTTCTACTGTGAAATTGTGGATCAGATAAGATATAAAAGAAGATAATCCTTTGTAGTTCCACAAAGACTTTCTACGCTTTCCTATCATTGCAACAAGATAACTTCATGGCCTCTCTGCCCTGACTCCACCCCCCCTCCCTCAGGCGCTGATGGAGAACGGCAATCTGAACTTCGTTAAGCCAGCATGGATTTACTCAATCAACGAACGACAAAAGATTCTGCCGTATCAACCCTACTCGGTGGTCCCCTGAACTAAAGGCCGTCCGCGCACACCAAGACCAATGGGCAACGCCGCGGAGACGCTGATTTTCTTTTTTCAGACCCTCCGCTTCACTCTCATAAAAAGCAATAAAATGTTCTTTAATGCCTTTCGGCGGACTTTAAAACCGGCCATTTGTAAAATGTTTTCAGTGCTCAGGGCTTTTTCAACCCACGGGGGAAACGTCTTTTTTAAACAGCGCCTGCTGCGTTAAATGTTAGCACACGGTTAGCATTAATTATTATTGTTAGCGCTAGTGATGAACCCTCACTCTGGTTTCCTGTGCTGCGTCCGCTGCTGTCGCTCACCTCGGCTTCCTCAAGGCTGCGTCCGCATCGCCAGGCGCCGACTGCCGTGAGCAGGCAGACCATTAGGAGACCAGCTCAACTTCAGGGGGGAAAAGGGCCATTTTCATTTTTACAGGCCACCAAATGCAGAAATCGGGACAATTGAATCCGATTGAAAATGAATGAATTCTGTTTTTCTTATTTTACTTTTTTATTATATGTCACTAGTTGGGAAAGCAATGGCTTTCCATGAGCCTGAGTTTGTTGTTTGTTTGGTTTTTATTCATGTTTGATTAATTAATAATAAAAGAAATGGCTGAACACATGTCAGCGGTTTTTATGTTCTGGCCCCTGAAGACGCTTCATTCATCTTAAACGTCTTTTTGTTCTTGTGCAACTTAATTATTTTGTCTGAAACAGAAAAAAAACCCTAACTTTTTCAATTAAAGGTTCTCAATTTTATTCATCAAACTGTGTCGTCCTCTTCATCCTCTTCCTCGTTTACAGCGACAAGAGGGGCACTCTCTTCCCTTTCATTCCAGCTCCCATCTCCTTTCTCTATTTTACTTCTCTAGTCAGGCGCCACCGGGTCTTCTGCTCTTCAGTCAAGGGGGATTAGAAAACTGGGAGGAGAGATGGAAAGGGTTGGAATGAGGGCCCGTTGGCCCCAAGGAGAGATGCGTGTGCGTGTGCGTGTGTGTGTGTGTGTGTGTACACAAACCACAGCACACACACACGTATGTAGCATGTCAATTATAAATAACTTGTCCATATAAGAAACAATATAGTTTAATGACATCGCCAACATAAATTTAAAAGATGTTTTATTTTTAAAGACAATAATGCCAAATTGTTAAGGTGGGGATGAGCATATAAAATAGGCCTAACAACGCTTAACGAGGGCAAACACGGCCTAATGAGGCCTCGGTTGGATGTGTTTTTAAAGGAATCCATTGATTTCACACAGATAAGTGTAAAGTGCGTTAGTGCAGCTTCTCTATAGCCCCAAACCTGCCGCTGATTGGCTTTTCGTAGGAAGGAGAGTGCGAGGTCAAACCCCTTTACGTGTGGTAGCGGCAGGATTTACAGCAGCTTGAGGGCCGTCGTCCCGAAGCCGAACCGTATTTCATCTAAATGCACATCTGTCATGGTGGCAGAGAGGCCGCTGCGCTGCTTTCAAATCGTCCCATTTGACAAGTCGACTTTGTTCAAACAGCAGGCTTTCCTGTGTAATTCGTGTCACCTTGATCTCCTCCAGTCAGATTGATCCTTTCCTCTTTGCATTTTTATGTCCCCCGTGAATCGTGGCAATGACCTTGGATGACTGCTGAGCCAAACGTTGCTCGGCTCATGATCACCGGCTCCCGGCGTTTGGTGTGTTCAAGGTTTTTTTCTTTATGAGGTGCAAAGTGCAACATGGGACCACTTGCTCCAAAGGAACAGCAACAGCGCACATTCACAATCTTTATTTATGTGTTAGCTACTTACTCTCTCTCACCTTCTCTCCGTGATGTTAGAGGTGGAGACGACACTTAGCAGAGTGTCGCCGGTCAGATACACTCTTTCTGAATGGAAAGGGATGAATAATAATGCAAGAAAATTTTATTTTTCTTCCTTTGAGCCGGTGGGTTTATGTGTTCAGGTTGTTTGTCCGGTTGGTCGTCCTTAACGACGAACCGATTAAATGGTGATGGTCAAAGGACGCTGTGACCTTGCTAAACAAGTGACAAGGGGAGGACCTTTGAGACATCGATGTATACCGAAACCTGTGGAACTAATTCCTTTTTTACTGAAAATGCAGTTTCTCAGTTGGTCATTTAATCTACTGAATGCATATTGTATCCCATTTGAATAAGAATATTTCCAAAGGGGACCGCTAGAATTATATTTCTAAGCTTCTGCTTCTAAAGGGAAATGTCATGCACTGAATATGTGAAGTTGCACTGAATATTAATTTTAGCGTAGTGCTGATGAATAGACTGATCTCAAGCATACCTGAGATTGTTACTGTTGTCCTAATCAGAAGATTTTGAGATATTTTCCACGAGAAAGTTCAGATGTTCCTACCAATTTAAGCGAGAGACCCCTGATCTGCTGACAGGTTGTACAAGGTCTAATTCTGAAAACCTGGATGGGATGCAAAGCCCAGTCTGATTCCAATTTGCTGAAATGAAGAATGAACTGTTATGATGATGGCTTTTGAAAATAAACCAAACTTGAAACAGAATTGTGCACATTAAACATTGTTTATGTATTATATGAGATACCTATTTCTATTTCGATACAAAGTAGAGTGGTGTTGTTTTGAGGATAGTTTTCCTCCTGATGATAATTTTTAGAAGTCAGAAATTACGTTTTGTTTACCAGAGTAGCACTCAGAGAAGCTGTGAATACAGTGTTTTACTGGATTCAAAGAGTACACAAGCAATGGCATCAAAACATACGTAAAGTTGTCCTCTTACTACTGGAGTTCCTCAGGGTTCCGTCCTGGGCCCCCTGCTCTTCTCTCTCTACACCAACTCTCATTCGCTCGCATGGCTTCTCCTACCACAGCTCTGCCGATGACACCCAGCTAATTCTCTCCTTCCCTCACTCGGACACTCAGGTGGCCACACGGATCTCTGCCTGTCTGACTGACGTCTCTCAACATCTAAAAATCAACCGCAACAAGACTGAACTACTTCTCTTTCTGGGAAAAGATTCTCCTACACAGTTCTGACTGGTAACTCCATGTTAACGCCCACTTTGACTGCGAGGAACCTCAGCGTGACGCTGGACAGTGACTCTCTCTGACTCCCAACATTACAGCAACACGATCCTGTAGATACACGCTCTACAACATCAGGAGAATACGTCCTCTTCTCACTCAGACGGCGTTGCAGGTACTGATTCAGGCTCTTGTCATCTCACGCCTGGACTACTGCAACTCTCTCCTGCAGGTCTCCCTGCTACCGCCATTCGACCTCTGCAGCTCATCCAGAATGCAGCAGATCGATTGGTCTTCAACCTTCCTAAGTTCTCCCACACTACGTCTGCCGGCAGCCAGTTGAAAACATTGGTACTCACGTATCATGCTGTGATAATGGATCGGGTTCAGTCTACATACAATTGGTCAAACAAATTGTAGCACTTAAATTGTATTTATAATGGCTCTTATCTATAGCAAGTTGTAGATCGGCTTATTTAATGAAATTGCACTTGTTTGCTTCTTGTTCTTTTGAGTTTGTATCCTTATGGTTGAAATGCACGTGTTGTAAGTCGCGTTGGACAAATGCGTAGCTAAGTGACATTTAATGTAATAAAAAACCTCTGCGGAGATTCTTTTTTGTCTGATTTAGTTATTAATGGTAATCCATCAATCAGAGTATACGTAAATCTGACATCATGTGTCCCAAAATTGCATCAGAGCATTCACAGCAGGCTGGAATTTCCAATTCGGAGGATGTTCTGCCTATTGTTTCATATTAAAGTCAACATGATGAAGTGCAATAATTTTCGAATGAAACCAAAGGAGTAACCATGGCGATTCATCCTATACCCAAAGGGATTTTTTTTTAACGTTTTATGAAGTAGTCTTATTCTGGTAGATGAAATGCAGAGAAAATTGTTACCCGAGGAAGACTTTACTTCTCTTTATCTTAAATTCAAGGACAGCTGGTGGATTTTTTTTGGTCAGTTTTATAAAACATCCCAGATATGATTCAATTCAGAAAAAGGCCTCAGACATGCATTGTTACATTTTTCACATTTATTCCAACAGCCACATAATAAGGACATCTTATTTATACAATTCAGTACACTAATATACATTTAAAAAACGTTATATAAAATGCAATGTTAACTTTCCCTAACGGCAAGCTTGACGTGAAGTTATCTGTGTGTGTCCTGGTGTTGTCTATCGTTTTCTTATTTTCTTTCCGACAAGTGCTTCATGTCCCTTACTCACGTATCTGTTCATGCTGGATTCTGTCCCCGTTGGTTTAAAAAGTGAGTATGGGAAGTTAAACATGGCGTTAGCACGTAGCTAACTAGCTTGCTAAACCTCCCGGTGCAGCAGCCTCTACAGAAGCTTCGTATGTCCGGCTTTGTATGTGCGGCTTCCCTTTCACGCCAGTCCGTTGTCTGTCTGGGAGCTCAGGCTGATCTGGGTCCAGTTGTTTTACCTCTAGTTTCACCGTCAAACAGGTCTTGGGGGAGAGAATGTACAGAGTTCGGGTTGGGTCTTCATTATTATATTGTTAAAACGGCACGTCGCGAGACTAGCTCTGAGGAGAGCGCAGCGAGGGGCAGCCCTACCACGGCCCAAAGCTGAATCTATTTTAGGACATACGTCACTCATTTATCTTTAATCCGTAATTGGCTAAACTGCTTCTTAGACCCGCCTCTTTTGGGCCCGAGCCTAGCTGACACATGCAGACAGGCAGAGAGGACGTGCATATATTTTACATTACATATTTCAAAAAAACAAATATTGACTATTTGTAAAATGTATGTTTAATCTTATAAAAAATATATATTTTTGTTTGTTTGTGTGTATGTTCACAGCCACCGTGTTAAAAGCAGTTTACAAAGTTTACGCATTTTTACCTTCTCATCTTCGTGAGATGCAATCAAGTCTTACTCTTAAATGTGTGTGATGTTTTTTAGGCTCCATCAGTCTCACGCAGCAGCACAACCGCACATCTACCGAGAGCATCTGTGCATCATCCAGTTACATCTTCAAGCGGGCTTAAAAAAACAACCCGAAACTCTGTGTGAGACTCCCTCCCTCCCTCCCTACATCCTCCCCCTCATTCCTGCGCGGCTCCGGACCCCCCCGCGAGCGTGGACTTCCCGCGCGTCACTGTGTGCGTGCGCGCGCGCGCCTCGTGAGACGGTGGGAGGTTCGCGGCCGCGGAGGGTCGCGCGGGACGCTGCAGCCCGACGGAGCCTCTCATCAGCCGGCGTCGGTGCTGAGAGGACGGAGCCCTTCGGATGAGAGCGCCTCCGCCCGGAGACGGTAAGCGAATGGAGCGCTCTAAGCGAGGTGGGAAGACGGCGATGGGGTTCCTCGCGACGGGGGGTCCGAGCGTTTATTTCTTGGGAGAAAGTGTCGCTGGGACTTTTCTAACAGGGATAATGATGTTGTTTGTTTAAAAATATAATGGTGATTATGATATCGCCTGATTTGACTAAATGCGACAACAGTTTTGTAGATACTGGGCAGATGTGTGTAGAGCGACAACAGAGAAGAACATACAATTCGTGACATCAGAGACATTATATTCAAGGTTAAACCAGCTGAGTACCGAAAGGTAGTAAACTATAAAATGAAACCATAAATAAACCTATGAAACTGTTGAAACTGGATTGGTACTTAGAGGAATACAATTAAAATGTGGTCATTGACCTGATACAGAGTTATAGTGATCACATGGTTGTACACTTCATTTTCCATCTTAAATCAGTGCAGATGTTGTACAGCTG